AGCTTAAGCCAGGAAGGGGGCGAACTCTTCTTCCACCGTCGCCAAGTCAAGCAAGTTGCTACACCGACAATTCAGACGAACCAAGCCATTTAGATCGCAGCGCAACCACGCCAACTCTCTACATGAGCTTCAACTGAAAGCATATGAGCGGAGCTTGTAGTTCTCTCCACTCAGTCGTTTCCAGTTCCCGCTCAGTGCTATCAGGGCGGCGCCATTTTGTTACATCCGGGCATTTCAAGGAATTCGGCCGAGGTAAAAGACGAGGAGGGCATGCGCCCGATTTCGATAGCAGAGGACAAACCGCTTATTCTCCATTTTCGATCAGTACCCATGAGCTTTACCGAACAACTAACGCTGGCTCGCTGCCGCCGCAATGAAGTGGTTCGCGCATCTAGAAAACTTATGAATACTCCAGGATCGGTCTGTTGTGCTATGTCGATTTAATCAAGTAAATGATCAGCTAGCTTATCTTCGTTCGATCGCTTCAATGGCGATGACATCAACCGGAATTACCACCCTCGACCGCTGCGTGTATTGCGTCAGCGAAAAACAGAATCCGGATAGTACAGTATTGAGTTCGAAAAAGATTTTCTGGGTTTCAGTGAGGTACCAAACGCGAAAATCTTCAAACTCCAGGGTTAGATACATGTAAACCCAGAGTGGTCTTCCTTACGTGTTCCCAGCCAAATGTGTTATACTTTTTTGTGCCAAAGCACCGTCAAATTTGCTTTCATTCTTTTTTATGAACAACAACAGCAACAGATTGCACAAACACGACGCCAGCGCACATACATCTTCGTGTTTTCGGCGATGCATTAAAGTCAATTGCGCACTCATCGATTGCTTTCCAAGTACCACTTACGCGTAAACATCACGGAAAATTATGTCGGTTACAAATAAACCGCTACAAACATCTGCGATAATGTAAGCCCTATATGTCCTTCACATCCAAGTCTAGCAGGCAATTAAATCATTGCGAATTCGTTGTTCGTCAAAAAAAAAAAAATAAAAAAATACAAATCACTCAGTTCTTTCATGATTGGTGAGCACCTTTGGCTTTGTTTTCTATTCAATGTAGACTTTCCACATATAGTCGCTAAAGGCCTAAATCAGTACGAACACTATCTCGCACAAAAGCTACTAAAACCGCATTCACTTTTCAACGAAGACGATGGACCAATCACACTGTTTACAGGGTTGTATCTTTTTTCATTTCCGTGGCAGGTGACAGCAGGACTGTGCCCGGTTGGTCTATTCATCGGGTATGTCATCTCACATTGCTTTGCGCATCTAAATTCGCGCATTTGAGCCTAATATTGCCAAAAGGACGCGAATTTCAATCGTGCTTCTACACCAACCGGATGTTTGGTACTGCTCAGTCTACGGAGCAGACGAACAGACTTATACATAACTTAAATACTCTACTCCAGTGATCGTATTCTAAATACTTTTGTGAGCAACTTGGTATTTCACAAATACTTTGGAAGGCAAGCATCTAATACTGTTACTTAAATACAATTTGCAAGCGACTTGTACTCCCTTCGTAAGTTACCCGTCAGATAGTGCTCAATTCGTAGACGCGCGAGTGATCTCCCTTTTCCCCCTAGACAACACACATGGCGTACGTGCAAAGATCGCACACGCATTCAGAGGGCGGACGTGATGGAGCAGAGATGCCGCATGGCGGTGTACTCAAATTCCTCGCACAGTGCGTACCGTATTAACAGCAGGCTGCATCAGACAGGCAGAACACGATCCCTGCCGCCTGCGTAAACGAGCGAACCCGAGTGGCGTCCAAAGAAATTTCCGCTCGGCAGACGGTTCTCTTTCCCATACAGGAAACAACAACAAAACTAGCAAAATACGTTTCCAGCAAAAGTACACGATCGAAGTTAGCATGGACTATGACCAACGTACCTAGGAAAATATTTTATTATATTTTATCTATCCCATTTCTTGAATGGGTATCGTATACGCGTTTGGAATTAGACTGAGACTCGATAGTCGAGACCGGGACTCAATGGAGGGTGAAAGCCAGGGAACGGATTTCGTTCTGCCATAGCAGCATTTACAGGAAATGTTTGTGTTTGTGAAACAGAGAAGAACCTCCAGGTACAATGCAAGCGTTACTTCCAACTCTTCAGCGCATCTGCGGAGAGCCTGCTTAACGTCAACAGATATGCGGTAAAAAAAAAAAAATGGTCAAGTTGTTACACGCAAATGTCGAAAAACAGCTGTTTCTGCGAGCGGTATGTTTTAGAGTGCAGCCCTTAGGCATGCCCGTTTCCGGGTTTCGCGGCGTCGGTGTCGCCGTCGGCGTAACCGTCCCGCTAAATTTAGCTGGAAATCGAATTGGTGTTGAGGTCACGTGACGTCAATTTTACCGCTAAATTTAGCGGGAAAAAACGATGTCACATGACTTCGTGTCACATCCCCCATGAACAAATTCAGTTTCTCCGCTAGATTTAGCGGGAAAACTGACGTCACGTGACGTCGACACCAATCAAAATTGTAGGGAGGAGGAGGAGGGGACTACCCTCCTCTCCTTCTTCTCAAGGGCTGCGCTCTAATTTCGCGTTACAGAGGTTTGTAATCGTCTTTGATTCTCTTTTTTCATTTTCGTTTTTTTATTTAGTTGTTTAACAGTAAATTTTGGAATGACCTTGAACTTAAAGAGAAAAAGCCGGTTCACACACTTGAAACTGTGTACGACCGACTGAGACAAGACCGGTTGCGACGGCTTATGACCGGACCCGCTGCTGTGGAGCTGGCTGTAAGCCATCACAAGAGGCTGTAAAACCAGTCTTGCCTCTGTCGGTTGTAGTCAAGCTCAAGTGTGTGAACGGGCCTTTACGCTTTACGAGTATTTAGTACTCTACTCAGATCCTTTTCTTGAGATTTGAGTAATTAGTATTTTTTTAGATACTTTTGAACCTGGAACTCAGAAACTCAAGGAATGAATATATATATCTACATATTTCTGAGCATCTCGCACAAATTTTTAGACGACGCGCAGGGGTGAGAGGAGAGAGGGCATTTTCTCTCTGCTCTTTTGATAAGAGTTCAGGCGTTCAGGGGAAGTTCGTCCCCCTCTTTCCTCTCTAGTAGTGAGAACACCGGAGCCGAGTTCGCCTCCTCTCCAGCGTTCGCTCTGCTAAAATGAAAAGAGTCCTTTTCAATCCCGTCTTCGGTACCTTTCGAGCATCACAGCTGCATTCACCACTATATAGTTTGTCGTTGCATCACAGTCCACAGCATGTAAACTAACGCTTCTAAGGCATTTTAGACGGCCCGCAAATATCGGTCTCTCCACGTATCGCGCTGCAATTTACTACAGAGGTGCCAGCAGGTAATAAAAATGTACGGAAAAGAAATTAATCTGGGCGATTTACGCCACCAGTTAGTTAGTTAGTTAGCTAGTTGGCGGTACCTAACTCTTTTTGAGACAGGGGGGTCAGCAGACGTTCAGATTGCCGACACAGGTAAAAGTTTTAGTTTCTTGTTTGGTTCTAGCTTTTCCCGCTTTTGGGACACTTTCACTGATGGGCGATCTAACGCAGTCTCTCCCACTCAACGAGAATGCGCTTGGTTGCTAGTGTACCGTGGGCCCCTTCCCGGAATCCCAGCATTTCGGGAATCCTCTCTTCGCTGGTCGCCCAGACCGGTCAACAGTGGTCTAGGGCAGGGCACCACAGCAGCACGTGGGGGACGTCCTCGCTTGACTGCCCGCACAGAGGACAGGCCGTGTCGTTGTCTCAGAAGAGTTGGGCACGTCGGCAGTTTGTCATCAGCGCTCCTACCCGTGCCTCAAACAGTATAGCGCGCTTTCATGGTCCCTTCGGTAGTGTGTGTAGGGAGACGGCTCTGGCTTGTGATGCGCGTAGATGCTCTGGAGGCTCTGCTTTTTCATCACCGCCTGTCTCCAGGCCTCAAGTTCAATCGCGTTCACCTCCTCAGTCACAGCTTTGAACCATCCTTTCTCCGATGTGGCCTCATATCCCTTTGTCCCTTTGCTGTTGACAGAGTCGAGCCTGGCGATGGTGTTTGACCAGTTCGTCCTGCTGCTGCGGTATTTAACGCAGTGGAATGTCTTTTTGGCGTACGCTTCATCTGGCATGTGGATCAGGAGCCCGAGGTATCCAAACTTGGCCCTTGAATCCCGTTGTTTGAATGTTGACCAGGCCATCTCTCCCGTGATGGCCAGGTTTGCAGTTGCCCCGTTTCCGCCCAGTGCCCACCTCCCGATTTCCACTTGACGGCGATCCAGTGTCTTCAGGGTGGTCTGCTGGAAGACCACTGCGTCGATAGCGTAGGTGCCCGCCGGTGCTGCGACACTCTTCCAGAGTGCCCTCGCAAGAAGAGAGAAGTGCTGCCGACAGATGGCGTACGCTGCGTCGAGGAAGCGCCGGCCTGTTTGGGTTGATAGAAGCAGATCTCGTAAAAGAAACCGAATCGGCCGGCGCTCCATCATCGCGGCGTACGCCACCTGTTGGCAGCACTTCTCTCTACGCGTGCATCGTCTGCGAGGTTGGGCCATAGATTGCCCAAAACAGTTTTTTTATTCTTTTAAATGAGGTAAGTTTTTTTTTTCGCCGTAAACTTCCACCATCTGCTTGCACCTTTGTAGTAAATTGCAGCGGGATACGTTAAGAAAATCGATTTTGCGGGCTGTCTAAAGTACATTAGAACCGTTAGCTCACTCGTTGGATATTACCAGTGTCCTTGCCACAACAGTGCGGAAGAGGAGCAATTGTAAAGCTTTACGTTACCAGTGACATCTCCATTTGCTAGTACAAGGGCAAGAAACGTGTACAAAAGTAGCAATTAAGTAATTCATGTTACGACTTCCTGTTTAACAATATCTGAAAAAAAATTGTGAAGTGTCAGTAACGTGTGTTTGGACATTTGGATCGTTGTCACGTCATTCTAATCACGGCAGACGCGAGAGCGGTAGACGTACACGACTGCAAGAGAACAATAGCAGATAAGATAAACGTTTCACTCCAGGAATCTATGAGCACGAATACCATTCTGTTCAGTGTCCACCTCCTGTCCGTATAGCCCTCGGTGAGAAGCAATCGCATGCTTCACATTTTGCCAGACAGAGAAGAGGATAGCGCAAGCAGACGAGAAAAAGAACTAACAAGGTATGTTTGCTTTTACAGATGGGAAGTTATAGTGTCTTCTTCAATCCCGTCTGCGATGTAGGCGGAGCGCGAGTTCGTCTGCTTCTTTTGCAGGGGATGTGGTGACGTCAGAACTCCCAGCTCTCATTGGTTCTGAAGGAAGGATAGTGGGTAGACCTCAAGGCAGCTTGCTTTGACGTCTGCCCACTATCCTTCAAACAGAGCCAATCAGATCTCGGCGTCGTTCTGACGTCAACTAAACTCCTGTGCAAGAAGCAGACGAACTTGCTCTCCGCATACCTTTTAGAATTTAGAGCATCATAGTTCGGCCGCTGCCGACGCATCGTGATGGCGTCTGTCGGCTTTGTGCGTTTGTCACCGTCTAAACCAACCAAGCACAGAAAAAGAAAGCGTTGAATTACGGCGCACTCACTGTGCGTTATTGATTTATCTGGTTATAGCAAAGAAACAAATAAAACGAACGCTATGACAATATTTTTTTTTTTTTTTTTTTTTTTTGCGCCGCTTGGTTGGTTTTATCGGATTGTAGCGTTGGCTGCAGTAGAAACGCCTGTTCACAGCGATTGCGCTGACGCACTAGGCGTCATGAGGTTTCTTCAAGTTGGTTGGTTTCGGTTTCAACGTGAACGCGGCTGTGTTACTGCTTTAGGTCGTTTTTGCCTAAGTTTGTGATACAAATGTGTCCTTTGTAGCCCACAATTGTTGAAACAGTGATACGGAGTCATTTTGAGGACTTCGAATTGGTTCTGAGCCTGAATTGTGGGCTTTTTGCGATCACTTGTGACGCATCTTATTAGGGTCGGCAGCGAAACGACTGAACTGATATACGGGGAAGATTACTATCGTCTACGGCCGTACCCGATGACACTAGTGTTCAGAAAAACAAACTAATGAAGAGACTAATACATGAATGTGAAGAAGGAGGTCGACAGCTTGATTAGCAATCTGCTGAATCGGAAAGAACAGTTGAGCTCGCGAGTTTACTACTCACTGTTTAATTTTCGTGGAAGCCCAACTTTTAATAAACCTCGCAGGCAAAAAAAAGGAAAAGTTCGTACAATGAAGAAGAGAATTTATATATATATATATATATATATATATATATATATATATATAATGGGATTGAGTGACGATTGACAAGTGCAGCCGTAGTAATATTGAGAACGAAGAGGGGAGAAGGTGAATATTGAATTTATTGCATTAAAGTTAGGGAAAGGGAAAGGGAAAGAGAGCTGGCGAAAAATTGGGCCAGGAGCGGGGATTGAACCCGCAACCTTCGCCTGACCGGGGCGACGCCTTAACCGATTAGACCATCCTGGCCACTGGTTTCGGCGGACTCAATTTCTGACCAGCTCTCTGTGTACTGTTTAGTTTCGAATTCGCTTAACTGGGTAGACGACAACCGTTGCTGATTTAAGGCCCGCGCTATTTCCGACATGCGGCAGTGACGTGGCACGTCATCTTCAGCTTGCAAATGTCGGAAAGGGCCCGTCTTCCAGGATATCTAGGGAACCACTCCTCCCCATAGGGACAGGCTGCACCGTATATATAATGGGATTGAGTGACGATTGACAAGTGCAGCCGTAGTAATATTGAGAACGAAGAGGGGAGAAGGTGAATATTGAATTTATTGCATTAAAGTTAGGGAAAGGGAAAGGGAAAGAGAGCTGGCGAAAAATTGGGCCAGGAGCGGGGATTGAACCCGCAACCTTCGCCTGACCGGGGCGACGCCTTAACCGATTAGACCATCCTGGCCACTGGTTTCGGCGGACTCAATTTCTGACCAGCTCTCTGTGTACTGTTTAGTTTCGAATTCGCTTAACTGGGTAGACGACAACCGTTGCTGATTTAAGGCCCGCGCTATTTCCGACATGCGGCAGTGACGTGGCACGTCATCTTCAGCTTGCAAATGTCGGAAAGGGCCCGTCTTCCAGGATATCTAGGGAACCACTCCTCCCCATAGGGACAGGCTGCACCGTATATATAATGGGATTGAGTGACGATTGACAAGTGCAGCCGTAGTAATATTGAGAACGAAGAGGGGAGAAGGTGAATATTGAATTTATTGCATTAAAGTTAGGGAAAGGGAAAGGGAAAGAGAGCTGGCGAAAAATTGGGCCAGGAGCGGGGATTGAACCCGCAACCTTCGCCTGACCGGGGCGACGCCTTAACCGATTAGACCATCCTGGCCACTGGTTTCGGCGGACTCAATTTCTGACCAGCTCTCTGTGTACTGTTTAGTTAAGTCAATCGTTTAGTCAATCGTCACTCAATCCCATTATATATACGGTGCAGCCTGTCCCTATGGGGAGGAGTGGTTCCCTAGATATCCTGGAAGACGGGCCCTTTCCGACATTTGCAAGCTGAAGATGACGTGCCACGTCACTGCCGCATGTCGGAAATAGCGCGGGCCTTAAATCAGCAACGGTTGTCGTCTACCCAGTTAAGCGAATTCGAAACTAAACAGTACACAGAGAGCTGGTCAGAAATTGAGTCCGCCGAAACCAGTGGCCAGGATGGTCTAATCGGTTAAGGCGTCGCCCCGGTCAGGCGAAGGTTGCGGGTTCAATCCCCGCTCCTGGCCCAATTTTTCGCCAGCTCTCTTTCCCTTTCCCTTTCCCTAACTTTAATGCAATAAATTCAATATTCACCTTCTCCCCTCTTCGTTCTCTATATATATATATATATCAGGGTGTCGAACCGGAACCGAACCGAACCGAAAATCGGAACCGAACCGGTATTTTTTCCGGAACTGAACCCGAACCCGAACCGTTATATTGTTATCGCGATGAACCCGAACCGGAACTGAACCGGAAAAAAAAAACGGTTACCGGCTCATGTCAAAACGGTTCGGCCACGCGCTGTTTACAATGAATGTGCTATCAATGCCATTTGTTTTTCAAGTGCCGTCAACTGACACACACCTCGCTTACATATTTTTCTTCTCCACTCAGTCTTAGGAATATAAACGCTGCATCCATGAATCTTGACAAACGCTGCATTCATGAATCTTGACATAGGAACCAGTATTGCGCTGGTCGCGGCTTGCACTGAAAAAAGAAAATTGGAAAGCTGTGCAAAAAAAAAAAATCGCGTCACGGGATTTCATTTTCCTACAATCTCGTAAATCCTAAATGCTGCTGTGTGCTCATTTCATAACACGTTTCTAGAACGCGCGAGTTCTTGAAGCTTGCTTCCATCGGAATGAGAAAAGAAAATGCTGTGGAGTTTGATAATAAGGCATCCGGTTTCGTATAGGCACTTAGAAGCTAACATATTTGAGACAGCGAACTCTTCTATTTTCATATTTATCCTATTACGTCCTTCTGGCGTTGCGTTCGGTGAAGTGTTTTTCATATTCCGTATCTTGTTTAATGAAAACTTCTTTAAAGGGATACTTCAACGAAATTTGAAATATTCCCGTCGTGTTCAAAAATAGGTTGAATATGATCCACAATATCCGGAAATGACAATCGCACGTTTGTATTTTGATCCTGGTGGCTGTATTTCTCGTTATAGACGGCCCACTCTGGCAAGCGCTCGGAGAAGGCCCAGCTTGGAGCACGTGACATCCAACGCAATCGTGACGTAGGTCGTCTCAAGACGAGCAAAGCTACGGCGAGGCTGACGTCGAGAGGATGGCCTAGTTGTTCGAGCCACCGAAGCGGCTGCTTTTTGTACGAATTTTGAGTGACGGGTTAATCTTCTATAATCTTCTAGGGGGACAATAGCGACTTCTGCGACACACAAAAGGGATTCTCGGGAAGAGGGGAGTTCCTCCTTCCCCCCTTCTCTCGTCGTGGCCGAAGACCAGACAACCTCCGTCACTATCTGTCAAGGTTCCTAGACGAGCATTACAAACGAGGCGTTAGCGACATCCACCAGGTGCTCTTTGCTAATCGTTTAATTCGTTTTAAAATTCCTTTTCGAGACTTTTTTAACAAGATATTGGTATATTCCATGTGATACTGCTTTTTTGAACACATATAGATAAAAAAATGAGCGCCGAAATTTCGTTGTAGTATCCCTTTAAGGGTCTAGTTTGAGTTACCGGATGCTAGTTCAAATAAAGAAAGCTGTATTTTCTCCCCACTGTTCCTTCAATTGCTTACACGCCGAGGTGGCGGGATAGTTAGCGAGTTCTACTTGCAAGTGGGTTTGTAAGGAGGTCGAGGATTTTACAGCTACTGCGTCGGACCCAATTAGATGAAGTCCGAATGCGTAAACGTCGGTGAGGTGACCTTTGAGTGCACATAAAGAAACCATTCCTGGTAGAAATCCCTGAGCCTTACACTACGATGTATCCCGTTTCGGATGTGCTGATTTCAGATGTTTTATTTGTAATTTATTTTGATGTTGAAATTTGTCATTTATAATTTCCGAACTGGTTCGCGAACCGGTTCGCGGATCGAATTAATCGAACTGGAACCGAACCGGAACAAAATAAATTTACATGAACCTGAACCGTAACCGAACCCGTATTTTTTTCGGTTCGACACACTGATATATATATATAAGGTACGTCCACACCTTTTTATTTCCTCTTATTCATATATAAATGCACCATTTTTCTAGCGTCACAGAATCAGCCAGCGAGAGACGTGCGCTTCGATAACCATAGGCAATTGTTTGTAAATAGCAAACATGACGTAGGTGTATGTAACATGGCAAAACAAAGAAGACTAGTGAAAGAAACGAAAAACACATAACATATTTTTACAGATTTCTGTGTCACTGTGTTGTTCGTTCCTTTCCATAGTCGTCCTTGTTTTGGGTTGTTGCATTTACATTATGTTTGACTTTCACCAACTAGTTCAGCCCTCAATTTTATTACTTTATTCCACTTAGCAGTATTTTACTAGAGGATGGCTATAGTTCTGCTCTTTCCTTCAGTGTGGCGAAGACTCGTCTGCATGTCTTAGGTTGAATTAACTATAGCGACGAAAAGGTGCGAATGGTTGTTCCAGCACCCAGTGGGAACTTCCTTATTTTTGTTTACAAACGCTGCCGAACAACAAAGTAGGGATGTTTATTTTAATTTTTATTATATAGAATGCGATGATCCCCGAGTAGCGGAAGTAACATGTATGCTTGGGTATCAAACTATATAATGCAAGTAGATGTAGTGAAAAGCGTTGGAGCTAGAAACGTGTGCAACTTTAGACCAATTAGAAGTATTAATACGTTTCCAAGTTCCTTGAGTTTCCCGTTGTTGGATATCTGGGACTACTTTAAACCGCTTATTATAAAACGGCTGTCTAGCATTTAAATTAAACAAGTTATTGGAAAAATCGAAATAAACCGGTTTTTCGGAACGTGTAACCGGTGACCGAAACCGTAAAAAACCGAAATAAAACCGTTTTCAACAGGAAGCGGTAACCGTAACCGTTGCCGAAACGTTACATTTTCCGGTTTGAGTCTCTGGTTGAAAGGGTGTTCGGCGTAGCAGTCGTCATCTTCACGAAGAAATGAGGCAAGGGGTCTTACGAGACTTTCGAGCGTCAGCCGTTGCTCAGAATACTCCAAGGTCAATAATTAAGTCTGGTGGCAAGGATAAATCCTCAAATAACCCTCTTCACTTTGTTTCTTATTTAGGACAGCAATGGTGTAAGTAACGCCGCGAAACTAACAGATTACTTCTTGAAGTAACTGTCACTTACTTTCAAAGGACGGTCCCTGTAAATGTAATTAATTACCATCTAGCCTCCAGTAATCGACCCTTTTCAAAAGTCCCCGCCAACGCCTGTCCGCCATTGCTCACACCCTGAGCATTCATCGGATGCGAGTGTGACGTCAGCGTTCGGCGAGGAATCGTATCCAATCACGCGCTTCGTGTCCAAGCAATGGCGACTGCCCATGTTGCTTGACTAACTTTTGAAAAGGGTCTATTATAAATGTAATTCCATACCTTTATTAGTAACGCGTACAATTTAGCTCTAAACCGCTAAAAATTCCACAAGGGAATTTCTCTCTCTCCCGCATGTGGCAACTAATATGCATTCTTCCCTTTCCCGCTCATTAGTCCCTCCTACCCCTCTTCCCACCTCCTCCCGGCCGTCGCCGGTGCGCTGTCTGTCTTTATAGCAGGACCAGACGATTCCGCACATATTCAGCCGTTCCGGCCTGCAGAAATTATTAAAAAAAAAGAGGGCTCCGTTCCACGGTTTGTTCCGGACGACGTTTTTGCGGGCTGATTTGGACTACCATTAACACGTGACCTTCCGGCATTAGGCGAGGGTTGTCCTTCCGGCGGGCATCGCGCGTATGGTATCGGTATCGACAAATTTCCAGAAAAAACAAATTAACGATGAATAACTCAAGCTGTGTGCTCAAACAAGGATTAAAAGTTTAAAAAAATCTTTGCTAGCCTTCAACATGTATTGCCTCCATTTCGTCAATATAAACATCTGCCACGAAATGTCTAATCATAAAAAGTAATTATACATTTTTGTTAATTAGTCATCTATTAGTTGCATTATCTCTTGAACATAATGCCCTCCTAACCTTATAGCTTGTAGCAGCTGCAAGGTGGCAGCGCCCGGACAGCGCCGCAATCTTCGCATTTTGGGAAAAAAAAAAAAAAATGGGCTTGCTCTGTATATTTATACAGCCATGATGCAGATACGCCTCAACGGGTAATCGGTCTCTTAGCTGTAGATGAGAAATTTAGTCAGTGCAGTACAACCGCTAACCTGGGGTTTTTAACGTGCATCACGCAATAATCATAACACGAAAGCGTGCCGGTACAATACTCATCCAGATTCGCATTTTGCGAAGAAAATAGTCAATATATTATACGGAAACTGCGAGTATTCCACGGCTACCCGACAGATGGCGCTACTCTGTTTTCTCGTCGTAAAAAAAAAGATTTCATAGAGGCTTCAATGCACACGGTCGTAAGCAGCCACAGGTGTGTGAACCAGCCTCGATGCATATAGTCAACCAATAACTCTTCATGTACTCTTTTTTTTTTGCTGCTGCAACAGGAAACGACAAAGTTGCGTCGAGACGGAAACGCGCGACCGCAAGCCATGGATTGGCGTGCATGGTGCCTCCTGCTCGCTGCAGTCCCAAGTGTCGTCGCCGTCGTCACGGCGAATACCGCCATCTTAACGAACGGCACAAAGGTTTTGAACGACGGATCGGTCACCATAGTCAACACCGTCGACGACAGGGGTTTCGCACCACCTGCACGCTGTTGGCACGACGGCTTCAGGTTGCGCTGTAAGAGTTCCCGATCATTTCTTTTTAATGCAAAAGTAGCCTGATATATTTGTTTTTCTTTTTGAGAACGTAATTTAAGAAGTACTTCTATGCGGAGAACAAGTTCGTCTGCTTCTTGCACAGGAGAGGCGATGATCTCAGAACGCCGAGCTCTTATTGGCTGATTGAAAAGAAATAGTGGTTGACCTCGAGGGCCTCGAGCATTGAGGTCAACCCACTATCCTTTCAATCAGAGCCAATCAGAGCTCGACGTCGCTCTGACGTCACTGCAAACTCTGAGCAAGAAGCAGACGACTTGCTATCTGCAGAGTCACTGTCAGTTTAAGGAATGCAGAGGTTGGCCTATTATGTTCATGCTTATTACTTCTCGAAGCGTGCTCTTTGGCGTCCTTATCGGTTAAGGCTGCAATTCATTGACTATACGAAGCGACAGCATAGGATGCCGGAGGCTTACCACGCCCCGCATTTTTTAAGTTGTCGGCGACAGTCGTTGACAGTTTAAGAAACGTGGCGTGGCCAGTTCCGAGCGTCACTATACCGCTCCACAACCAATCGAACGAATCGCGAAGCACGGAGTGAGATCATAAGCCACGCTCTGCGTTAATTAGAGGTCCTCGGCGACTATATAAATTAAACATTTCCCGGGAACTGCGGGAAGGGCTTTGCGGAAGGGTAGCGAAGTAGCGTCGGTCTCAGAATAACGTTTTTTCCATAATCTTCGCTATACGCTATAAACAGCACGAGAACGGCGCTGTCTAGCTCACGCGCGCTACTATAGCGCACTCTTCGCATGCACTGTTCGCATTCCGAGGCATATTTTAAGTCGCGCATAATATATACAGCTGTCTTGGGAAGTTCCGGTTCGGTTTACGAACTAAAAGGATGAAGCTTACTATAGCCTTACACAAAATAGGTGCCCGTTAACAAAACGCTGCCCTCTAGCAAAAACAAAAAAAAAAAAAAACGGTTTGTTTTGGTTTTGTTTAGTTGCTTAATTTACCTGAAAATATAGGATGTAACAAGAGAAAAACACTGTTCCGTGTTTTTAATGGAAGTCTAGCCATTAAGACTATGTACACTGCAGGACACTGGTAGCGCGAACACGACTTGGGCACTTTTTTGCATCTTGTCAATCTCTTGAAAACAACCATTAATTTTTTTTTTCTCTTTCTCTCTTCACCGAATTTTACTTTGAAAGAGCACTAACGAGCTTAAAACTTTACCCCTTAGATTTGTGGCCCATTTGAGCACTTTCCCCAACTATATTAGTCTTGATGGCAGTGAGAGAGAATCTGTAAAAACCCTGGCTTGTTCGCGCTAACAATGTCGTGGAATGTAGGTGAACCTATCAATAAGCTAACCAGGTTAGACAAAAAAAAAACTGTGGGTGAGACGAATGAAGAAGAACCACAGTGGCAAACAATTACAAAAGTGCGCTGCATAATTATTTATCATCCATGATCCCTCAATTGCACCTTTGTATTAACTTGAATATCCCATACGTTAATGTGGGATGCTTTGTTTCTCAACTGCATGTGCGGTGGGGTAAAAAAAAAAGTTAAACCAAACGCCGGAACATTATGGCCCCTCGTTTCAACGGGGATCAACAATACACTCCACGAAAAGCGCTTTGCAAAACCTTTGCGACTTCGCGATTTTTCCGTACCACCGGAACGGCCTTCGTTTTTGAACGTAGGATTATTACAATGTACGCTAGAGGTTCAACTGGCGTTATACTTTGTCTCACCTTAGGTCTATACGCAACCGACGGTGTACGAGTTGATAGGACCAAACAGACGGCTTAAAAACGCACCGCCATGCCGATCGTCATGTTTCTGTGCGTGTCCTATCATTGCTGAACCAAAAATAAACAGAAAAGGCCCAGTTTTTTTACTCTGGCTGATTGGTCTCATTAGCTCGTATCGTCAGCTGCGTCTGGACTTAAGTTGGAACAAAGCGTAGTGTTTATGCGACTTCAGGTATGCACATTGAAGCAGGCAGCAACCAGTTTACTATTGCGGTGTTCCTGTGCATTCCTGTGGGAAAACGCAGTGCATTTTGTCTCTACACCGGAGAATAACATTGATAACTTTTTGTGTTTTAGGTCGTACCGAATAGCATGTACCCTTATTGTTATTATTATAAAAGTGTAATTGCTTTAGTTGTAGTATTTTTTTCATCAGTAAACTACGTTAAGCTTTGCTATATTTGAGGCCCAAACCTCTGTTCCACAGCATGTGTGTAAAAACAAGCGAAGATGCTAAGCCAAACCACTTCCGGACTGGAAGCGCTTTCTTTCTTTCTCTTCTTACGGCCTTTGCAATCGCCCGGAAGTCAATGGCATTTTTTCTCTGTATGTAGTTCACTTGCTCTCCGGCAGGGGCGCAAACACCTCACCCCACTTCAACCCCGCTCGGAGAGTTTCTTCGAGCTGCTTTGCGCTGGTGTTCGAGCCTCGTAGGTTGTTGTTTTGGCAAAGGTTCCTCGGAATACTTCTGATTAACCATGCAAAGACGGCCACGGACAAAAGCGAAAAATCAGCTGGATATGTGCACACGCCCTCGAGGAAGCACTTTAGGCTGTAATATGCACTGTGCGAAAATTGTACAGACTACTACACCCGCGTCTAGAGCAGCTGATCGACTTCATGTGCGGCCTATGAAAAGATGATGCAGACCACGGCAATAGAGATTGGGCCTGCTTACATTTCACGAGAGTGTACGAATTGTTTATCATTTAAAGTTCCTCCACGTAGAAGGGGTCCGTCTCCTCCTGTTCTTGAGTTGCAACAGAAGTCTTGGAGGTAAAGACGAGTATAGCTTTTAGGCAATCGCATTCGCTGTCTCTACTAACTACTCTTTACTCCCGAATCTCTCGGAGATGTGCGTCAAATATTCACCGTTCCGGGCTCATCAGAAGCGCATTAGATAGTTGCAGAGGGTCTAAACATAAGGATCAGGTGTCAAAGGCTATGAAAATCTCGGCCGCAAGTTGCGACAGCGTTGAGATACACTGTCAGACACGCTTTGTGCAAACGGCAAAAGGCAGCCCAGGGGAGAGGTGACAGCGCCCCCCGCGAATTGCGGCGGGAGGTGGCGGTGGCCCCAATTGCAAAGGCTGTAAAAAGAGAAAGAGAGCGCGCACTTCAAGTCCGGCCGTGGCCAAACAAGGACCGAAAAGACTGTAGAATGTGTTTTTAGCAATCAGTATTTATATATACATTATTTACACATCAAGTGCAGATTGCTGTCAAGGCCTTCGGTGCCTATAGCCGCTCAACTTGCTCGCGAGCCTTTTCTCCGTGTCGTCCCCTTCTTTCCTCTTTCAAGAGATGGCGCGATGACCGCTACATGTTCAAGGGTCGCCACCTTTCCGGTGACTCTCATTAATTGCTAATATGCCAGTCTTATCACTATATGAAAATTACCCGGTCGTGAATCTTAGCGAGTGGTTAAAAACATTCGAAACGTAAAGAATAAAGCACGCGGGCTATGAAAGGTCTCTCTTTTTTTATTATTTCCTATGCCCGGCCAACTTAATCGGGCACCTGTTCTCTGGCCTCTCCCTATTTTCAACGACCTCGAGCGTGCGAGTGATGTTCTGAACACGGAACAAGCATCGAGGCACATAGGCACGAGCAGAAAGAATAAATCAATACTTATTTATTGCTAATCTGACTAGGTTACTTCTCATTCACTTCATTTAGGTCGTCTACATACACAGAGAGTTCCTGATCCAGTGTTACTGCGTAGTTATTGCCACCTATCTGGGTTTTCCAGGTGTCCTTTGATCGTTTGGCACCTAAATCGGCCATACTGAAAAGCGCCGCCACTGTGTTTTCGCTAGCAGTGTTCGACAGTGCAGTAAATGCACGCAGAAAGCTCTTTTAAGTACTGCACTTAATGCCCTACATTTGAAGAAAAAAAAACACCGTAGGCTGAACAAGTTTTTAATTTAATTGATTAAGAAATGTTCCAAGCTTTATACTAGGTTATAGTTATTCGTAATATTTGCTCTTTAAATAAAGCGCACAAAAAAAAAAAAAGTGCACCCGCTTTTAAACACCGCGGAAATGCATTACCGAAAGTCAAATTTTCACTGGTTGCTGACTGCTTCAATTCGCAAACATCAAACCCATCATACTAGCGCCGGTTGAACCTCTCTATAGCGTACATTACAATAACTTTATGATTTTGAACTGTCTATAGTTATATTTTTTTTACCTTTATTACTAACCGCCCTAGTCACCCGCATCTGCGCTTAATTGTACTTCATTTGCTCAGAATGCACCCTAAGAAATCTGGAGCGTCATACTCTGCCGCAAAGCACTTTGAAAGAGCCTATCGCTGCAATCCACAAAACGAAGCTGATGACAATGACGACGGGGCTGAAAATATATCGAGAGGCGAGAACATGGATGGATGGATGATATTGGCTGTGCCCTTTGTAACGGGCGGTAGCTTGCGCCACCTATCCACATAAGCCTGCGCTGTTGTCAATAACCGTGGTAAAACATCATATATGCTCAGTGCCGCAACATCGCAGATTTGTTTTTCTCTAGGTCTAAACATTGTTCAGTCTCGTCGTCGATTCAGACTTGTACACGTTACTAAAAAAAGTAAACGATTACAATTACAATTACCTCACTGCAAAAAGTAACTGATTACAAAAGACCGATCTCATCAGCCAGTTTGACTACGCCACCGCTGCCGCTATGCAACGGGGGAACTTTAATCTTTCTGCACGTGCGACAACTCTGCTGAAGCTCTACGCGAGTGGAGCGCGAGGCGCCACGTGCCCTCCCATGCGCGGCCGTCTGCCTCCAGTTATGGCGGCGTCACGCATGCGGCGAACGCTTAGTGAGATCGGTCTATTACAATTACTGCCTAAGAAAAGTAATCGAAAAATTACTCTAAAGTAATCGATTACTTCCCGCGTTACTTTTCATTCAACTTTTTTTTTTTTATTACGGTATAGCATAATCCTTGGGGTCTCTTGCTCAGTTGTTCCGAAAAAAAAAAGAAAGAAAAGAAAAGCTTGATTGTTTTTGCTTCGAGCTGAGTGAGTTACGCCTACAAATCCAATCCCTCTCGTGAAAACAACAAATAAAATGAAATAAAAAGAGCGCTGTTTAACTACATTACTCAGAAGAGGCTGGATAAGGTAATTTAATTTTTCATACCCAGACGTAATCTCCGGTGTACCAAAAAAAAAGAAAGTACCCAGGAAGCGAAACCTAGTGAGATGGCCTACTATACTCCGTTTCACCTTATGTTGTACCGCAGCGAAGGCTAAAAGGGCAAGCTCATAGCGTTGGCAGTTGCCCTGCCAACGTTATGAGCCAAGATGTGCTCTAGAGCAAGGAGCTCGCGCTTGTAGCTTTCCTGCGATACAACACAAGGCGAAACAGAGTATTTAATCCTTGAGGTCCCGTGCTTAGTGGTTTTGAAAAAGAAAAAAAAAATTAACCGTTGCCCAGAGCTGAGTGACTCCAGCACATCTAACCGCCCCCCCCCCCCCCAAAAAAAAAAGAAAAAGAACGATAATGTATTGATTAAAATTGTAATGGGTAATTCTGTAATCGATTACAGCAAAAAGGTAATTCACTTACAATGATCGTTACTCATTAAAGGAAGTAATTGAAGCTTTACAAAATTACAGTAAGATGTAATCGATTCCAAGTAATCCATTACTTGTAACGCGTTACCTAATGGTCTGCGTAGATTGCTGCGATTAACTGTCCAAAGTTTTGTGAGAAAGTAGTCGCACCAGATCTTTTCTAGCGCCCCAATCGCGCTGCTCGCTTATCGTAACAATATAAAAAAGTAAAAAAAAAAGACTCGGATATTTTCTGCAAACACGACGAAAGAAATATCCGCGGACCTGCGTCACACGCGTTCAAACTAAAGTCACTGGAAGCTCCTCGTATGGTCGCCATCTTGGTCCGTGAAATGAGCAATTTCTCCTTGACGCCTCCGTTCTTGGTGAGCCGATCTAAATTTGCTGGTGACGGGTAGCTTTATGGAGACGTCTCTTGTATACCCAGATTTCGCTATCCACACACCGGCAAAACAAGTGTACATTTTTGTACCACCACCGGTTGCGGGGTCGGTGTTGGAGGCACTGAAAAATAAGTTTACTGTCTTGAAATGCGCAAGAAGAACAATATAATTGTAGGAGGTCCGTGGAGATGGGCATGATTGATAAGTTGATTGCATACACAAAGACGCTTATATTGGCGAGGAACGCGCTTCCAGCACGATGATGCTTTATGGGGATCTTGGCGTGACTGTTGAGAACGACCTTCTGGAAGTTTTGAAGATTCGAATGAACCGAGGTGGTGATTTCCATGGAAACGTAGACATGTCAGTATCCGTCTGTGTCCGCCTAGCTGGTAGGGGAGGCAATGGCTCTACTTTCCCAAGTTCCAGTGACTTTAGTTCCAACCATCTTCGCTTCGTACATATATGAGCAACTCGAGCATGCATGCAGACAGTCCTATATAAGTGGGGTCATAAATGCAGTGTATTGCATGAAAAATTTGTTTTTATCCGAACAGGTGAATCACGGAACGAATACACCAAGATTTTCTCCAAGGGCATCATCGTCGCTATTGCGTTCGGAGGTATCCTCAGCATCTTAATCATCGTCGGCTGCTGTGTGTGTTGCTGTAAGGCCTGCTGTAGGAGTGAGGTATGAGCGCCTATAGCCTTTCGAACTCAGTGTCATATAGGTAGGGTTTCGTGTTTTCGAATAAATCCGAAAAACATAACCTCAGAAAAAACACGCTCAGCGATAAACTTTTGATAAATAAGGATTTATCCGAAAAACTCTGAAATTCGGAGTCACGATGGTGAAGTGGAGAGCACACAAGACGGCACTTTACGAATAAAGTTCGTCGTAGCACAGTATTACTCCGGTTAAAAAAAAATTAAATTTTTTGGTTATTGACAAAAAGGGGTTTCCCATTTACCTAGTCTAAGTTCGTTCAGTCCAATGGGTTCAGGAAAAAAGTCGCCCTTCTGGTTTCCAGTTTGGACCATATTATGTGTGCTTCTTAGGTAGAGGAGAGGTTATGGTTTTTTAGCAGTCAAAGGTATATAGACTTTATAAAAAGGGGGAGGGAAACTGAAGCTCTTATGCTTCTCAACGACAGCGTCCAGAATTTTGTCTCTTACAAAGTATGGACGTTCAATAGCGCTTTCTTGCAAGATCTGTTGGGTACTCTAGTCGCAAGGGTGCCAGTGCCAAATGCCGCTGATGAAATATCTTTCGATACCGATGAGTTTTTTTTACGAATTTAATGCGCGTTTTTGTTCGGACATTATTTATTTTTATTTTGAATTTCGAAAAATTGGAAACACAGTACGAAGGGCTTTGATAAAGTTCGTATTGTCATAAAGGAATAAAGATTCAGCCATGAAACTCGGGTAGAAGTTTAGTCTTTCTCTAGACGCTCGCCACCCAAAGTCACGCACTTTCGCCAGCAATGGACAACCTGCCGGAGGCCTCTGTTATAGAACCCCTCGTTTTGAGTGTCCAGAAACTGCTTCACTCCAGCAATCACTTGGTCGTCGTCTTTGGAAGGCTTTCCACGCCGGGGAGTCTTCATGCGAGGGGAGAGGAAGAACTAAGGTCGGGTGAATAGATGGGTTGCAATAAAATTCCTTAACCTGAATAGGCCGCGCGTGTGACATTGTCGCCCGTGCCGGTCTTCGCTTTGTCTTGATACGTATATCTTCTCGCAACTTTGTCAGAAGCTCACGCCATGTTTATACTGCGCCGAATCCAGAAGAATGCGCGCTCGTGTTCATGCCTGTTTTGTACCCCCCCCCCCCCCTTTTTTTATGTTTGGTGCCGATTATACGAACATTATGAGCGCCCCTCGTACAATTAAACGCCAAATTTTGGAAAATTGAGAATCTAACAAAAGTGAACTCCGATAAACCCCTAATTTCCAGCTACGAAATAAACCCCGAAAAACGCCCTCCGACATTTACAAAAACTAAACTCTAGCGCGCTGTTTACAAACAAGTCCGTGTTTGCCCACGGCAGGGTGCCTTGCGCAAAACAGATTCGCGTGAGAGGAACCGTCTTCACACGGGCCGTACAGACAGTAGTGCCAGCGCAGCAGCGTGACGCTGGCACTCACCGGGATGCCACAATATCCGATTTCCTTCAACAGAAACAGGAATATCGCAACATTGTTTTGATTCGTCTATACGGTTTCTAAATTTTTTAAAGGGCAACGTGTTAAAAAGATATTGGTCTAGCACATCAGCGGAGAGGTTACAGCTATGTGTACTCACTAACAGATTTAAAGGGCATTGCAACGAAATTCTAGCTCCTACTTTATAATCGAAATGTCGACCGCGTTCTGCAGCCACACCACAGACACCATTTTTTGTTTGTTGAAAAGACACCGTAACAATATTTTAAACGAATAAACCGATCAAGAGATTACACCTGGTTGATGTCAGCGAATGTCGTTACGTCAAACTTCCCAAAAACGCGGGGCTGCTCCGCGGAAGTACGGCGTCGAGCTCCGAGCTCCGTGCGTGACGAGCTGTCAAACTCAGCCGAATCGAATTTTTCTTCTTTCCAGCGCCTATTCAACCCTTGCGGGGAGCGGGTCTCCCCAACACCTCCGAGATAACCAAACCGTAATGCTGAATGAGATGGCGTCATCTCATTGAGCGTTGGCCTTCTCCTGATTAAGCAATCTCATTCAGCACTACGGCTTTGTTATACGTAGAAGAATGGATAGTTGGGCGAGTTGGTGGGAATTCATCTTGGGACACAGCGCGAACAACAGACGTGGACGAAGAAGAAACACACCAAACGAGCGCTGACTATCAACTGAATTATTTTAATAGGAAAACACATGAAAACGACCATTCATTATTTGCAGTTCACCCCCCGTCTGCTTATTACGAGACACTTTCATAGCGGCATGATGGCACGTGTTGCTATCCCAAATTCAAAAACGCCACCTCACTGTCCAGCAGTGCCAAAGACGGTTGGCTGACACACGAGGTTCCCGCCCTTTTTATTTGGCAACGGCTTTTCGGGAGACCAACGGGTGTTGGTCTCCCGAACGTCCAGGTTGTGACGCATCGACGCCACCAAGTGGCGAAGCTCACAACCAAGCCAGCCTCGCCGTTGCCTCTTTGGCCTTGCCTGTGAAGTTAAATATGACGTCAGGAACGCTCTGGAGGCGCCGCATCTCCCGAGACGAGTCGCGCCCTCCGATGGCTGCTCTTGGCCGTTTAGAACCAAAAAATATAGCCATCCATTCAAAACACAAACGTGCGATCGTCATTAGCAGATTTCGATTGATCAGGGTTAACTTCTTTCTGAACGTGAAAGATACATTTCAATTTTTATTTCGGTCTCCATTTAAGAAACTCAGAGGTGCCTATTACCATTTTGTTCATCATGTCGGCAATGCTGATTGCCACTTTCATGTCCCCGTGGTGTGCTTGCCAAGATGGAGAAAGCCTGAAGTGTAGATGTTCAGAGCGTATAAAGAGCCAGATAGCCCAAACAACGCGCGATCGTAGTGGCCAGTAGTATAATCGCTAAAACGAAGGGCGCATCGACAGCACAGAGCATCTAATTACCGGAACACAGCTCAATCACAAAAATCACAAAGCAATAAGCCTGGTCATGACAAGCCACGCCCGCGTTTGCGTAAGCTGTCGGTGACATAGTCCCAATTCGCTTCAAAGTTAAAGCTGGTTAAAAGTTCAAACTCACAAAAATTAATCTCCTGGGGAGACTCGAAACGATGACCAGCGTTTCACCACCGGAAGAAGTTTCTTTGCGAATTGCTTGCGAATCTATACTTGGTCTCATTTTTGCCGTGAACATATCCAAAGCCAAAGCCAGAAGAAGTGTCCTCAGTTGTTCTAAATTTTCTTTTTGATCACAACTGCCGTGGCAAAGGGGTATACTGAGGTATACATATCAAAAGCGTCCCTATTTTTTCAGCAAACGACGCAGACTGTGATAAGGACCTCCCATCTGGCACCAGCCACACCCGTGCACTCGATCCAAGTTGGCCCTCGATACCCGTACCCACAAGGTCAACAGCCTTACAATCAGCCGTGGCCCCAAGCCCAGTACGGCGCACATCAGCCTCAGCAGCCATACCCGCCGCCCTACGACCCAACGTACCCTCAGCAGCAACCGTACCCGCCTGGACATCCAGGGGCGACTGCGCCATCCACTGCGCCCACGGCACCACCGGCGTCGTTTGAGCAAATGCCCATGCCACCGCCTCCCTACGAATACAAAGAAACGAGGCGCTATTAGAATCCAGCGTGGACACACGGACTCTTTCGAACAGTGCCTTATCAGGACTGAGGACTATAAAACTATCTGTTAAAAAATTAAAAAAATAGCATGGCAAACATGTCCTCTGGCACGTTTCTAATCTGAATTATCACCAAACTGATGTTCAGAAGTGTGTTGCAGACCTGCATTTAAAGCGTTATGGTTATAGTTATTTTAACAGAGAAGGTGTTTTACCAGCCAAAAACTTTGAGAGCAGCGTCTCATGCTACATGACTCCACTGTCTCGCGTGACGTCATGTAACGTGACGTCTCGATTTTCTGCTCAAGTTACCGAGAAGTTTTTAGAGTCGCGTAATGTCATTATATCACGTCACTTATCACGGTGTCATATCAACACCGCCCACTAGATTTAAACGAGGCACCCGGACTGCGCACAACGGGGCTTGCACCTAGAAAGCATTATTCCTTTGGGTCAAAAATTTGCTTTTTTCGAAAATTTAAGGTCTTAAAAAGTCCGAAGGAGCCAACCAAGGCAGAGCACAAACGTAACCTTCTTTAGCCCGAGCCTGGGTATCTTGGCCCTAATTCGCCAAATAAGTACAAAAGTTAGGCTTCGCTTGGTTCAACTGTCATCTGGCGTCTTTGGGCCTAAATAGCCACAAACGTTTTGTGTCCCTGTGGCGCTTATTTGGCCAAATGAAGTGAAGAATAAGTAAGACAATTATATGTTTCACTTCATCGATATTTCAGTCGCAATAAGCGCCAGAATAGCCCAGAACAATTTTCTTTATGAATCCTTAGACAGATTTTATTTTATTTATTTTGCCTTTAGAGGTTTTATGTATTCATATTCTCGATTAATTAATGTACCACCTTCGGGCACCTTTGTAGTAAATTACCGCGCGATAAGTTAAGAAACCGATTTAGGCGTACCCTATAGTGTACGCGCTGCATAGTTCAGTTTTCATGGGGAAACTATACGTGCCTAAATTTCCAAACAAGCGCCAGATTTAGGCTTCACTTCTGCTTCTTCTCTTCAGAAGTGGCATCTTTGGCTCACGTTTGGAACATTGGCAATTATTTGGCGAGCCGGAAATAAACCCAGAGGAACGTCGAAGAAAAATACTCTAGCGCTAACTATGGGCCGTGGAGTAAAACAGTATTATGCCCAAGTTAAGCCTCCATGATCGCCAAGCTTGTGTCATGTTAGGCGTTACTCTGACGGGCATACCCGGTCAGAGCCTCAATTATGCTGCAGCCTGCTTGCAAAATACGACCTTAAAGAGACCATAAAATTAATTTTGGTCCGGGATAAATTAATTTAGGTTGAGATTTTATTAAACTATACGAATCTCTTATATCGTTTAGCGGGCCAAAATAAAGGTGATAGAAAGTCAAAAGCCCGTCTTTCGGTACCAAAACTTGAAGATACTGTGGACTATTTCGTACCTCCTTTCCTCCGAAAGCTCTCGACCTTTCACTGCGATTCATCCGCGGTACCAAAAGTGCGTCAGCCGACCCCAGCTCACGCATTGGACACAAGTACTGCGTCACTGGGGCGTATCGTGTGTCTCTCTGTCAGCTTGATTGTGTCTATAGTCTCTGTCGCTGTGCCTTGGCTGTCGTCGTATTTCATTTGCTGGTCACGGCAAGGAGCCTGGAATGTTTTTTTCTTCTTCTCATATTGCTCGCACATAGCCTTTAGCAACGCCAAATTGTACTGTCTAAGTTGTTTTCTCGAATTAACACGGTCCATTGGGAAAGAGATCGACCAGTCACGAGTCTGGCGGCAGGCTTCAGCTGTGGGGACAACAGACCGAAATTTCTTGTTTGTTTTTTATCGAAGAAATCAAATATTACAATTTGAAGGCCGCTCCTCGTGGCACCAGAGCACTGGTCAAAGCGAAGCGCCCGTGCCCAGACCGTGCTAAACGAGGTTCAATTTCTTTGTTATGCTGTGTTAGTAAACACCGGGCTGTAGGGAAAACACGCTCGATAAACATGCCCCTATCGTCTGCCCAATATAGTCGGTGACACGTTTAAGAATGCAGTAGAAGTTGAGTCTACAGCGAGAGCTTTCCACTTTTGATACCACTTCGACGCATGCAAATCAAAACTCCGAAAAGGGGTGACGAGGGCGTGCTGCAGGCAGATGGGCTATTTCATCATTCCTTCAAGTCATACGCCGGCGATTTTTTTATGATCGATGAAGTGCCTTAAAAGTGGCTCAACACATCGAAGGACACGGCTATACCAGTCCCCCAAGTATTGTCTAAAAAAAAAAAGGAAGAATCGCGAAGTCATTGAATTTTTTAATTCCGTTCTCATCGTGTTTCTCAAACCGAGAGTCCATATTGGCAACACTGAAGTGTGAGGACAGAAATGGTACAAAGTGGAGGCTAAACTACGTTTTCAACGGATTACAAAACGTTTGGTGGTGGGTAACGAATGCTTGGAAGCTCATTCACTGAGAAGTATAAAAAAACGCTCACTATATACTTTGTTCAAAACTACCGGCGCAACATGAAAGTCTGTACCATTGGTGAGGTCACATCACTGAAGAGCACGTGAAAATGTGAATGGTGCATTCGGCATCATCTTCATTTACGGTTTTCTCATTATCTATTTTGTAAATCTAGAAAATAATTAGGATACAGTGAAGACTGAAGTCAGGGTATTAAAAAATGCAATTTGTTTTCGTTAGCTTAGGAAACGGCCAGAGTACCGATTTCAGTAACGCTCCTTTCCCCCCTCCCCTAGTTTCACACAATGAGCCAAACCTGATATAACTTATAATGGCGGAGTTTGGAGATATACAGGGGGTCCCTAGTCACCAGGCTCGATCTAAAATGGACCTTAAAGATCGACGCCTGCACGTAGCAATCTAGACTTTACGTCAAATGTGTTATCTTCACGGGTCAGTTCTTTTCTTGTAACATTAGAAAGTGTAGCTCTCTTTCTGTAAAAGATAGGGCCAAGAAACTTGCCAGGGTCAACGGCGGGTGGTGACGCAGACGACGAAGTCGAGTAGCGCGGCGGGTTTCGCGCTCATATTGAGAAATAGCGCTACCTCCTTAACGAGATTGCTCACGACCACCATGGTTTATTCAAATGAACATAATCTTTTTGTAATGTACCTTTGGTTAAAAAATAAATGCGGACAATAAAAGCATAACTTGAAGGGAAAAAACGCGTTTGCATAACGAAGGCGGTTTTGCTGCCAAACAACGTTACTTGAACCACTCAGTTGGAAAACTGCCATAGAGACTGCTGTGAAAAAGTGGCGCCGATCCTTATCCCAGTACCGAGCTAATGGCAATCGCAACGCTGCCATTTCTCCCGCAGCGGCCACTACGTGAACTGCACGGCTGCATTTACTGGTTCCGTGGAGTCACGGAAGGGCCGGTGGCGCCATCTGGCAGGGACATCTTGCAGTAGCCATATAAAGCAACTTTAAAGGGATACTTCAACGAAATTTGAAATATTCCCGTCGTGTTCAAAAATAGGTTGAATATGATCCACAATATCCGGAAATGACAATCGCACGTTTGTATTTTGAGCCTGGTGGCTGTATTTTTCGTTATAAACGGCCCACTCTGGCATTAAGCGCTCGGAGAAGGCCCAGTGGAGACCACGTGACATCCAACGCAATCGTGACGTAGGTCGTCTCAAGACGAGCAAAACTACGGCGAGGCTGACGTCGAGAGGATGGCCTAGTCGTTCCAGCCACCGAAGCGGCTGCTTTTGTACAAATTTTGAGTGACGAGTTAATCTTCTATAATCTTATAGGGGGACAATAGCGACTTCTGCGACTCACAAAAGGCATTCTCGGGAGGAGGGGAGTTCCTCCTGCCCCTCTTCTCTCGTCGTGACCGGAGGCGAGACAACCTCCGTCACTAGCTGTCAATGTTCCTAGACGGGCATTACGAGCGAGGCGTTAGCGACATCCACCAGGTGCTCTTTGCTAATCGTTTAATTCGTTTTAAAATTCCTTTTCGTGGCTTTTTTAACAAGATATTGGTATGTTCGATTTGATGGTGCTTTTTTGAACACATATAGACTAAAAAATGAGCGCCGAAATTTCGTTGTAGTATCCCTTTAATGTTTCAACTCGTCGCTACAGGGAGGTGCTGTTATTGTATTTAGCTCAGTCTCGGTGGACGCCTGTGATCCAGGTTTCAAGGGCGAGTTTCCCAACTTAGTGTTTTAGTAACTGTGTTGCCAACGAATTTCGTCTGCATGTCGTTTGTCTGCTTCCTTTCGCTGGTCATATACATATTCGGACGCTGCTCCAGACGCCATCTATCGATACGCGCGCCAAACACACCACCCATTTCGACTCGGTCGTCTGCGTCGTCGCCCAATGTTGAGCCTGGCAAGTTTCTTGGTTCTAATTCTTTATACAAAGAAAGCTACGCTTGGTAATTTTACGTGAAAAAACCGACCTGTGAAATACACCTTTGACGAAAAGTTTAGACTGCTACGTGCGGGCGTTGATTTTTACGGTCCATTTTAAATCAAGGCTGGTAACTTGGGATACCCTATATATTGTCACGGGTGGTGACCAAACAAAAAAAAACAGGAAATAAACAGAAAGAAATAAACGTTTAATGTGGCGAACTTGTGCCAAAAAAAATAAAGAAGGAAACAGAAGAAAGCAGAGCGTCGCGGGCGTCGAAGTCGGCGTGTCAGCAGAATCGAGCGCTAGGGCGAGACTGACTCGACAAGTTCGCGGGCGGCCTCTTATCTAGAGTGCGCCGCTATCTCGAAGATTCGGCGAAAGCGGTTCGAGCGTCGCGTGATCGGGGCGAGAATGAACACGCACTTTCTAGAAAACAAAAGCAGGGACAAATTATAGAAGTTACGTGCGGTACATGAATAAACGGGAACTTTCTGGAGGACCGTGACCGAGCGTTGCTTTCTCAGCCTTGCGCGCGGCATTACTCCCCCCTTTAAAAGTGCATCGCCCCGATGCAGTGTAAAACAAATCAAAATAAAAAAGAACGATAAACTAAAGAGTCTTTTGGAGCACAAAAGGTCCACAGTCCTATCGAGCGTAGTACGGCTTCAGGCGCACGACGTGGACGACCTCAGGTCGTGGTGGGCGGCGT